GGGGTCCCTGTCCCACTCCAGCCCCACTGAGCTCCAGACCACCTGGGAAGTCAGGGGGTGCCCACCTCCATGGATTGGCACCTGTACCTTCACTGGGATAAGGCTGCACATCCTGCTGGGATGGATCACAAGACCCAGACTGCAGGCAGAGTCAGGACTGACGGATGTCGCAGTGCGCAGGTGGGCACAGTCCACAGGGAGCAGGGTGAAGGGTACTCTTGGAAATAATGTTTGTCAGGGCAGAGGGTGCTCTGGGAGCTACTCAGGGTTTGCTGGCAGCAGGGGAATGGCTGCGTTGTGCTCGTCAACGGGCCCTGGCAGTTCCACATGGAACACGGGCACAGCTCTGGCAGATGTGATGTCACAGGAGGTCCAGGGCCACTCCGCAGTGGGGGACAGGGATCATGGAATGATGGAATCTATGAATCGTTTGGCTTGGGAGGGACCCTACAAATCATCTTGTTCCAACCTGACCAAGTTGCTCAGAGCCCCATCCAGCATAGCCTTGAATGTTCCCAGGGATGGGGCACCCACAGCCTCTCTGCACAGCCCCTGCCAGGGCCTCACCACCCTCACAGGAAACAATATTTTCCGAACATCAAATCTAACCCTCCTCTCTGTCACTTTGAGCCCATTCCCCCTTGTCCTGTCACTACAGTTGCTGACCAAGAGTCACCCTCCGGCTTCCTTGGAGGTCTCTTCCCACACGGGAAGGTTTCTCCCAGGTCTCCACACAACCTTCTCTCCTCCAGGCTGAAGAGCCCCAACTTTGGCAGCCTGTCTGCAGAGGGGAGGTGCTCGAGTGCCCTGAGCCCCTTGGTGGCCTCCTGTGGCCTTGCTGCAGGAGTTCCCTGGCCTTGTTGTGTGGGGGACCCCAGAGCTGGAGGCCGCACTGCAGGTGGGGTCTCCTGAGAGCGCAGCAGAGCGGCAGAACCCCCCCCTGCCCTGCTGCCCCCAGGGCTGGGGATGAGCCCAGGACACGGGGTAGGGGGTCTGGGCTGAGAGGGCACATTCTAAGGACATTCTTACGTGTTGCTACATCCACGTAACAACAATAATCTTTGAAATGAGTTAACAGAAGGACAATAAAAAAACCCAACATATAAGACACGAATCCAGAATTTATTGACATTTTCAGAATTTTCTCAATAAAACCTGTATTCTTCTTTATAGAAACAACAGTCTTCTTGATGACAACACTCTTAATATCAGCAACCATCTTCTTAATAGAAACAAGTGTCTTCTTAATAAAAATATCTTCTTAATAAAACAACTATCTTCTTAATAAAAACAACTATCTTCAAAATAAAGCAACTATCTTCTTAGAACAGAGCTATCTTCTTATAAAGGAACCTCATCTTCTTAAAAAAACTATTGTCTTAATAAAAAACTATCTTCATAATTAAAAATCTATCTTCTTAAGCTATCTTCTTATAAAAGCAACAAACTTCTTAAAAAGTCACTAATAAAAAAAATATTTACAGAAAAATTGGGAAAAGGGTGAAAAACATATGTACAGGTGGCCGATTGCATGGTCGGCAGGTCCGTCAGTCCTGCAAGAAAAGCAAGGGCACGGTCAGTGCAGTCGGGCCCTGCTGGGCGTTCCCTGTGCCCCCAGCCTGGCCCACGCTGGGCACAGCGGGACTCTGGGGCCAGGCCTGAGCCCGGCTGGGGATGGGAGCCGGGCCCCAGGCGCTGCCACGGGGCTTGTGTGGCCCAAAGCAGGCGCAGGGCAGGTCGGGGCTGGGGCTTGTGCCGCCACAATCCAGGGCACGGGGCACCGTGTCCCTGAGTGGGGCCACCCAGCCCAGTCCCAGCCTGGCGGCAGGTGACCCGCTGTCCCCAGGGCAGGGCATGGCCAGGACGGGCCTGACCTGCTGATGGGGTGGGGTGTCCTTATCCCAGGATCATGTCCTCTTCCTTCTCCCCTTCCTCCTCTACTTCCATCTCCTCTTCTTCATCCTCTTTCATGTCCACCTCCATCTCCTCTACATCATCGATAATATCTCTCACCATGTCCACTTCCATTGGCTCTTCGCTGTCTCTCTCAGCCTGCAGCAGGGAGCACAACCTCAGAGAGGGGTCCCTGTCCCACTCCAGCCCCACTGAGCTCCAGACCACCTGGGCTGTTGGGAGGTTCCCACCTCCATGGATTGGCACCTGTACCTTCACTGGGATAAGGCTGCACATCCTGCTGGGATGGATCACAAGACCCAGACTGCAGCCAGAGTCAGGACTGACGGACAGAGCAGGGATCACCTGAAAACAGTCCACTGGGAGCAGGGTGAAGGGTGGTCTCAGACCAGGTGACAGGGGTTCACTGCGAGCTGCTGAAGGTTCGCTGGCAGCAGGGGAATGGCTGCGTTGTGCTCGTCGCCGGGCCCTGGCAGTTCCACATGGAACACGGGCACAGCTCTGGCAGCTGTGATGTCACAGGAGATCCAGGGCCACTCTGCAGTGGGGGATTGGGATTGCCAAATTTTCAAA